ACACACACACACACACACACACACACACACACACACACACACACACACAATGGGCTATTACTCAGCAATCAAAAAGAATGAAATCTTGCCATTTGCAACAATGTGGATAGAACTAGAGTGTATTATGCTAAGCAAAATAAGTCAGTCAGAGAAAGATAAATATATGATTTCACTCATGTGGAACTTAAGAAACAAAACAGATGAACATAGCGGAAAGGAAGGAAAAATAGAGAGGGAGGCAAACCATAAGAGATTCTTAAATATAGAGAACAAACTGAGGGTTGCGAGAGGGGTGTGGGGGAGGGCTAAACGGGTGATGGGCATTAAGGAGAGCTCTTGTTGGGATCAGCACTGGGTGTAATATGTTAAGTGATGAATCACTAAATTCTCCTGAAATAATTAAAAAGAGAGAGAAATATAGCTCTGAAAGTCAGCAGAGTACAAACTCTTTAACATGTCTCTCCATCATTTACATTCTAGAACCCCCCTAAATATTCCCTGATACAAGTGCAAAGTGACAGCAAAAATATATTTCTTTTTTTTTTTTTTTAACGTTCATTTATTTTTGAGACAGAGAGAAACAGAGCATGAACGGGGGAGGGTCAGAGAGAGGGAGACACAGAATCCGAAACAGGCTCCAGGCTCCGAGCTGTCAGCACAGAGCCCGATGCGGGGCTCGAACTCACGGACTGTGAGATCGTGACCTGAGCCGAAGTCGGCCACTCAACCGACTGAGCCACCCAGGCACCCCAAAAATATATTTCTTAAATCACACCCACTTCCTTACTGATAGGGAAAACTAAAAAAAAGGAGACACAATTTTTTCTTCTACAAATTTCAGCAAACAAACCTTCCTACCACAAAGCATTTTTTACAGCTCTAAGTAAAAAGAATATATATCAAACAAAAACTAGTAATTCCTGAGTCTATCTAAGAAATACTTGTGAGATCAGACACAGCTATATCTGTTTGCATCATTTTGACATACACTGACTTTCTACAAGGCACAAGTTAATGAAATTCTAAAAACGATGCATCGGGGTTACGTGTCTGACTCTGCTGAAGTCACAGTAAAAAATACAATCTTTATACCAAGTACAAGAAAAACTTCAGTAACATGGAACAGAAAGCAGAAAATGGCCTGACCTTCTCATCTTATAGATGAGGAAACTGAAGCCCAGAGACTAGAAATTTCCTGAAGCAGTTTGTCCCTGAAGCATCATTATCCTAACACCAATCATTTCTTTTCTGTTAGTTGAAAGTTTCTTGGAAACTTCCTGACATGTTGGGTATTTTTCCTGTGAAAGCTGAATGATGCTGTCCTTGAATGGATCACCATTTGAAAATGCTATTCCAGGGGCGCCTGGGTGGCGCAGTCGGTTAAGCTTCCGACTTCGGCCAGGTCACGATCTCGCGGTCCGTGAGTTTGAGCCCCACGTCGGGCTCTGGGCTGATGGCTCAGAGCCTGGAGCCTGTTTCCGATTCTGTGTCTCCCTCTCTCTCTGCCCCTCGCCCGTTCATGCTCTGTCTCTCTCTGTCCCAAAAATAAACGTTGAAAAAAAAATTAAAAAAAAAAAAGAAAATGCTATTCCAGGGGCGCCTGGGTGGCTCAGTCGGTTAAGCGTCCGACTTCAGCTCAGGTCACGATCTCACGGTCGTGAGTTCGAGTTCGAGCCCCGCTTCAGGCTCTGGGCTGATGGCTCAGAGCCTGGAGCCTGCTTCCGAATCTGTCTCCCTCTCTCTCCGCCCCTCCCCCGTTCATGCTCTGTCTCTCTGTCTCAAAAATAAAATAAACGTTAAGAAAGGTTTTTCAAAAAAAAAAAAATGCTATTCCTCTGATGTTTTTCATTTAGAGTGGGTTTGTGTATTAAAATAATGCAATCTTATTAAAATGCCTCTTGTTTTAGACCTTATTTCCCATTTCAAGTTTCCATTCCCTCAGCCTCCCTCTATGATTTTTTTTTTTTAATGAAAACAGCAGTATCTAACATATAACTAGTCCTAGACAAGTGAGGATAGGAACGATTCCCAAGTGTCCCTCTGTCCAGTTTTATGTCTAAGGGAGAGGACCCAGGCAGAGTTTGTGGTCCCATCAGCACACTTCTCCATGAGGCAGAAAACAAATTCATCACTAGACCAACTAAAACGTGGTCCAATCATCTCTGTGTAGACTCCACTGCACCTCCGAGTGATGGGGCTGAGGGGGCTCAGGCAGCTGAGATGAAAGGCTTAGCTGAGCACCCATTTACATAACAAGCCATCTGGGGAGCCTGGGTCGCTGTTGATTTCTGCTCAGGTCACGATCTCACAGTTTGTGAGTTCAAGTCCCACATAGGCTGTGCTGGCAGCTCGAAGCCTGCTTGGGATTCTCTCTCTCCCACTCTCTGCCCTTCCCTAGCTCTCTCTAAATAAATAAATAAATAAATAAATACACTAAAAAAAAAACCCAAAACACTCCACTGTACATGGCTATATACTGCACACAATTTTCAGAGATACCTGGTTCTCTTTAGCTTATGAAAAAAGATTATAGTTACCTGCCTCCATAGAAAAAAACCCTAAATTTTAATTTACTGCCAACAGAAACAAGGTGTGTCGGTTTCCCGTTCAAAGAGAGGCAGCAGAGGGTGCTCAACGCCGCTGCTTTCCGAAATCGTTAACTTAAGCAATTCTCCCATCCAAGCTGTTCGCAGCAGTGAAGGCTGTTGGGAGGAGCCCCCACTGCTGTCCTCACACATGTACAAAGTAGCTTAGCCACGCCGAGCAGAATGTCTCACACTGTTCTAGCCCAGGCGCAGTCCCCCTTGTGACGAGCGACAGCGATGGGTTTACACACACTGCGCCCACAATGGGCAAGAGGGTTCTGGGGTGCGGCCAGCACTACCGTGGGTGTCTCGGAACGCACAGCAGAGAATACTGCTACAAGCCGCCCTCCGTGAACAGCTGCATCAAACAGCGCCGAATTGGGGGACAGGGGGTGAGGGTCGGAGTGGGGGGGGTGTCCCTCTGGGTCCCGAGGAAGCGGGCGACGCCATTCTCGCCGCGCAACGCCACTCGGAGACCCTTTCGCGCAGGCGCTTTCTGGAGGAGGGCGGCGCGGTGGCGGTGGGATCGAAGAACAAAAACCTTCCAGGCACCGATTCCTCATCCCTTCCCAATCCTCCCTTACGCCCGCTTCGTCGTTTTTTCCCTCAGCGGCCGCCAAGGCTGGGCTTTAAGAGCCATCCAGGCCGAGCGCCCGGGATAAGACATCATCTTAGTCCCTACCGTTGGCGACCAGGAGCAGATTCCACTCATGTGGAGTCTAGAAATAGACTTTTCTCAAACAACCGACTCACCTCTTTTGAGCCTTCTCCGCCATGGTTTGGACCCTGTCTCCAGTTGGAGCGGAGATCGACACAGCCGCCTGGGTCCAGCGATGGTCTCTACAAGCGATTGGAGCGCCTGGCAGGATCGGGATAGGGCAGGGGCGGGCCTGCCCGGGGGCGGGGCCTGCCGGGGCTAGTGGTTGCGCCACTCGCTGCCTGAGGAGGATTGTGCGAGCAGACCTCGCGTGGCCGCTGGCTTATTTTTAGCGCAGTCCAGAGATGGATAGACTCGGATTTAAAGCAGCCGTTTAGTCTAATCCAGCGCACATCATGATGACCTCATTGTACTCCATCATTCTTTTTCAGTCTGCTTTTCGGTCTCTGCCTGGGCCCTTTTCGTTCAGTGTGAGCTCAGCTCTTGCTGGGTGAGCTCAACATTCCCATAAGTACCCTCCTACCTGCTGACTTTCTCGGGTTAATATCTCTAGTTCTGTCCTCTTTACCGAGCTTCATACATGGTTATTTCATTGCATTCTCCACCTGGATGCCTCAAAGTCGTGTCAAACCTAAAACGTCCGGGGCAGAGCTTTTGATTTATACCCCTTAGTTGATGCTTTGCTCTCCACCTCAGTAAAGAGATCCACCATTCACTTAAAATTGCTCAAGCTAGAAACTCAATAGGCATCTTAGACTTTCCTCACCTCCCCGTATATAATTCGTATATAATTCACCGGCAAGACTTCCACCTCCCTAATGCAATCTCAGCCGCCATCTCTCCCGGGGTGTCCCCCATCCCCTTCCCACCGCCTTCCCACCTCCCTCATTGAAGCCATTCTCCTGTCGCCAGAATCATCCTTTATCTTATTTTTAATTTTTTCAATGTTTTTATTTTTGAGAAAGAGTGTGAGCAGAGTAGGGGCAGAGAGAGGAAGACACAGAATCCAAAGCAGACTCCAGGCTCTGAGCTGTCAGCACCGAGCCCGATGCAGGGCTTGAACTCACCAACCGGAGATCATAACCTGAGTCGAAGTCATACGCTTAAGCGACTGAACCTCCAACAAAATCATCCTTTAAAAACTAATCCAATTATTGTACTTTGCATTCTTTTCGTTTTTCTTCCTAACTCCTTTCTGTAACCTACCTCTGGACTAGATCCAGCCCCTGACTACTTCTCTTGTTCAGTTCTTCTGACTACTTCTTCATGTTCAATTTCTCTTCCTCTTTCTCTAATCACGCGTTCATTCTCTATGAAGCCAAGCTGACTGCCCCAGACCGCTTCCACCTGACCCTGCTCTCCACCCTGCCTTCCTATGATGGTTTAAATCTCAGATGTCACATACTCTGTGTATTGGTCAGGGTTCAACCAGAGAAACAGAACTGCTAGGAGTTATAAATTAAGAGGTTTATTGCAAGGAATTGGCTTACACAATTGTGGGGGCTGGCTAGGCAAGTCAGAAGTCTGTGGGGCAGGCTGGAACTCTCAGGCATGTGGTGTAGCTGCTGTCTGTAGGTGGAGTATCTTCAGAGAAGCTCCAGGCCTGCTCTTAAAGCCTTATAACTGATTGGATCAATCCCACCCAGATAATCTGGGACACTCTCCCTTCTTTAAAGTCAACTGGTTATGGACTTCAATCACATCTACAAAACACCTTCACAACATCACCTAGATTGGTGTTTGAATGAATAGCTGGGAACTGTAGCCTAGTCTAGCTAAACTGATACAAAAAACTAACCATCACACTCAGAGACACCCTCTCTGGCCACCCAATCAGAAATAGGTCATTCTTGCTCTACTGCTGGTTTTCTCCATGGAATAAGAAGAGGACCCATCATCCAGGTACCTGGCTGGCTCAGTTGGTACTACATGGGACTCTTGATCTTGGGGTTGTAAGTTTGAACCCCATCTTGGGGGTAGAGTTTACTTAAAAAAAAAAAAAACGCAAAAAAAGGACCCATCGGCAGCTGTAATTGTTTATCTTATTATTTCCCCCAAAGACTTAGTTCCTTGAAAGTAGCCACACGAATTTGTCCCCGTTTACCCAGCACTGACCACAGTACCTGACACATAATAGATACTAAAAAAAGAAAATTGTTGAATAAATATATGGATGAATTTAAAACATTCTATTGTCCCCTAGCATATAAGCACCTGTTTTCAAACAATGTCTGTCTAAATTAATTTGAAAGACTTCCATGGTGGTATGTATTAATCACAGTTCTCCAGAGAAACAAAACCACGGGAGATTATACACACACACACACACACGCACATGCATTTATTTTAGGAATTGGCTCACGTGATTATGGTGGCTCCTTTCCTCGCTCACATCCTTGCTTCTCCTTCCCAGCCAGCCAGTTGTCTGTCCACAACTGGAAAATGACATTTTTCTTTAACTTAGTGAAGAAAATATGACAGACAGATGACTGGAAAGGCAAATAACACAGTATGTAAACTAAACGAGAATTGTGAAAGCAATGTTTTTTGTACGTTCTTAATATCACACCAAAACACATTTTGGTTTCTATAGTGCCGTTCCCTTTATCAGAAAGCCAACTTTTATGCTGCTTCTCGCCAGTGCTTTTGTTTGCTCTTTACTCACCCACGCCTTCCTGAGCCATATAAGCAGATCAAAGAGAACCTGGTTGAGATTTCTCTTCCTGAAGGAAGGCACCTGTTAAGGACTCTGGAAAGGAAGTATCTTTGTCCCAGTTCACAATGGATTGGCTTCAGCTGTTCTTCCTCCATCCTGTATCACTTTATCAAGGGGCCGCTTTTCCTTTTGCACTTCTGTTTAATTATCTCTGCACTATGGACTCATTTTCCACCCCTGCCAGGTAGGTTTAAAGGCTAATTTTGCTCTTACATCTATGAATACCATAGTAGGTCAAAAAGCACGGATTGGCCTGAAGACATGAAGATTAAATAATTAATTATACGGGGGCGCCTGGGTGGCTCAGTCGGTTAAGTGACTGACTTCGGCTTGGGTCATGATCTCACGGTTCACGGGTTCCAGTCCCGCATCAGGCTCTGTGCTGACAGCTCAGAGCCTGGAGCCTGTTATGGATTCTGTGTCTCCCTCTCTCTGCCCCTCCCCAGCTCATGCTCTGTCTCTCTCTGTCTCTCAAAAAATGAATAAATGTTAAAATTTTTTTTAAATAAATAATTATACGGTTGTTTTTAAGTAATTATCACTACCACTGATTATTGATTGCTCTATCATTGATATCTCTATTAGAGTGAAATGGTAGTGGAAATTGACATCATGTCTGCATTGACTCAAAGTTTGACATTAAAGGGGGAAAATGGTGAAAATAAACTCTGGGGAGAGATGGATGTTGAGTTAGTACAGGAGTTGCCCAAACAGATATGTCTATACCCCCACCATATGTCCTGTACTCTTGACCAGTCCTAATTTCATGGAATTTTATCATTTTCAATAAAATTAAATTTTATTAAATATATAACTGATTTTTAAAATGCCTTTGTATGATTTCTCAGAGAAATGGAATAAGTCGAAATAAATTATGTTAGATTGCCTGGATCTCAATCTGGGGTCCAAAAATTATTATCATTAGAGACTTGATACCTTGATTGAAATGATTTTTGTGTAGTTAGTAAGTTATTATTATTTTTTATTTGAGAGAGAGCACAAGCAGGGGAGGGGGTAGAGAGAGAGAGAATCTCAAGCAGGATCCATGCTCAGTGCAAAACTGATATGGGGCTCCATCCCACAACCCTGGGATCATGACCTGAGCCAAAACGAAGAGTCAGACTCTCAACCAACTGAGCCACCCAGGCGCCCCTGTATAGTTAATACATTATATACATTAAAGGCAGCCCGTGTTTTTAAAGAAGTTTGTGGAATATCCTTGTGTCACATGAAAATCCATTGCCCGAGGGCTACCTCCTAATGATTCACTTATTTTGGAAATTAAGATTTTTATACACTGGGGATTTTTAAGTAAGATCTAGTTGTATCTAATAAAAAGAACTACTGAGTTTGACGAATCTGTGGTATATTACATGTTCACAACTGGTTGACGGCCCTTACCCTCGCTTCGGAGGGGAGCAATTGTAAAAAAGTTTCCTATTGAGAAAGAATCACAAATAATAAAGCAAAGCAAGTGCAAAAACAAGGGTTAATTCTCATAGGGTTAAGATTGCTGGCTTTGGGGGCGCCTGGGTAGCTTAGTAGGTTAAGCATCCAACTGTTGATTTCAGCTCAGGTCATGCATGATCTCATGGTTTGGTTTGTGACTTTGAGCCCACGTGGGGCTCTGGACTCTGTGCTGACAGCATGGAGCTTGCTTGGGATTCTCTCTTTCTGCCCCTCCCCTGCTTGTGTGCACATATGCGTGCACATGCGCTGCCTCTCTCTTGCAGAGAGAGGGAATATCTCAAAAATAAATAAACTTAAAAAAGAGAGAGAGAGATGGCTGCCTTCGGAGTCAGCCTGGCGGATCCTGGGTCCTTCCCTTCCTGATGTCCTGTGTATGTGAATAAATTCTCAAGTTGATCTGTGAAATGGAAATAATAATGCCTATCTCATGGAGTTATTTTAAGGATTAAATAAAGCTATTTATTACAAAGAGATTATTAGCACAATGCCTATAATAAAATAAGTACTCAATACCTCATGTAGCCTACATGGAACATGTGTAGACATTTTAATGTTTACAAAGCCTGAGGGCAGTTGCCACTTCAGGCTTCTACTTCTGCTGTGTAAGGAATACATGTTCCCCTTATTTTTCCGTGGCAGGGAAGCACGGGAATGGCCCAGGCCCTGTGTGATAGAGCAACTTACACGGGGACCACCTATCAGTCCCCCCACAAGAAAGACATTCTTACTAATGTGTGTGTGTCGCTGAGCCATGATACATACCCTGCAGTGGTCAAGAAAATGTAGGCCTCTTTTTAATCTTTTTGTTTGTTTGTTTTAATGTTTATTTAGGTTGAAGGGAGGGAGGGGCAAAGAGGGAGGGAGAGAGAATCCCAAGCAGGCTCCGTGCTGTCAGCGCCAAGCCAGATGTGGGGCTCGAACTCACGAACCATGAGACCATGACTTGAACTGAAATCAAGAGTTGGACGCTTAACTGGCTGAGCCACCCAGGTGCCCCAAAAGCATAGGCCTCTTTGACTCAATTTTCCTATCC